TGAATGCTCACATCCTTTTAATTATGTTTGAAATTATGAACATTGCTCAACATCATGAAATTAACCTTATTTTCAATAAGCAATCCTGAAAAATATTTGGGGGTGCTTAACTTTTTTCCAGGTGTATATATACACCACTAGGTAAGCCACTAGTGATTTTGAAGAAGCACTCCATCTCACCAGTGTGCACTGTAACCTTAAAGATATTTGGTGTGGGATTATAAGAAACATAAATGACCAGGCAACACTCACCACTGAGCGAGATCCGAACAGGTATCAAAGAAGAAGGAGGACCCTGAAAGAAAACATAATAACAAAAGACTCCCAAGTGAGAGTTGAACTGGTATGTGTAGAATCACCACAAGAGGTAGATGATATCCACCACAGAAGGACACAGCCAGATGGTGTAGATAATGAGCATCAAAGGTAGGGGGAATAGTACACATTCCAGCCTGGATGATATCCTCCAAACGACAATGAAAATAAGCCACTAGAAACACGGTGATATGTTGAATCTGATGAGACAAGACATGATAAAAGATGCCTTTCGAAGGAGAGAAAAGAGGAATTCAACCTAATAAGCTGATGACCCAAACCATAATGGTGATGGGGGGAGATCACATGACAAAGAAGAGTTCCAGGGAAGAAACAAACAGAAATGGGAACCACAAAAGGAAGTTGTACATGCCACATAGCATTGCAGAGCCCACACAAGACACAGGAGGTGATCTGGATCTGACCTGGAAGAAATATTGGAAATGGAAGGGATGGAGATGGGTGTAAAGGCAGATATTCCTTCACGAGAAGCTGAGTTCTTGGTGATTGCGGGCAAGGTCCAAGTATAGCACAATATATGTACTATGATAAAGGGCATGGGAAACATCTATCACAAAAAAGGTCAGACCATTGACGACCACAAATCAGGAGAAGAAAATAGATCTTGAGGAAAGATTATACAAGGAACATGAAGCCAAAGGTTCAAAAACAGGTTAGAAAAAGGCAAACAGGACGACATTGAAAACCCCAAAAGGCACTGGAAAAGTACAGTGAATGTGAAGAACCTGAAAGAACTGGAACAGGAATGAAAGGGTGGAAGAGAATAAGACCCGGCAGAATCTGGTAAAATGAAATGTGTTGGACAATGCTGCTCTATAACCAGAAACTGTCAAAACTGAAAGATCCTGACTGTCCAGCCAGGTGAACCAGAAAAGGTGAGGAATGGAAGGGCAGAAACCTTGTCAGAGAGACCAATGACTAAAAGTAGCCCAAAATTGTTGGTAAACCGACAATGTGGAAGGTCAGACTAAAAGGGAAAGGAGAGAAGCATCACTTGGTGTCAGGCCCTGTCTCCTAGCAAGGGACCTGACAAAAGCCATGCATGAAACCAGTAAGGGGAGATGGAAGATGTTAAATTGAGGTTGATGAAGGAGAGGAAACAGAAGAAGAGGCAGAGGTGATGACAACAGTAAATGCATCAGAAGAGGGAATCAAGGCTTAGCCGGCCAAAACTGAACCACCAAGAAAACTCGACACAGAGTGGTGTGTACCAGGGAGATCACTTTGGGGAGGAGATGTATAGGTGGGAAGGACTAAATGTGATGGCTCCACCATTCCTGAAGGCATCTATCCCTAAAGTCTGATGATGAGGAAATGAATGACAGTTTGTTAAGATGAGTGGCAAATGCAACGAGAGCATCACCACCAAAAAAAATGAGGATCAAGGGACCACTTCATGGCAATGACCATGTGCAGACTTGATAACCAATCCACAACAAGATACAAAACACTGAATATGGTAAGCTTGGAGCTGTATTTGGTGCGCGTGGGTCCGGAATAGGAGCTCCAGAGTCCAAAAACAAAAAAGACCTGGATTTGTTACTCTTTGTTAGTTGATGTACGAGATCACCGTGGAGTTGTCAGAATGCACCATAACCACAATCCCACTCAGAAGACAGAGAAAACGAGACATATCTTGATGAACAGCTAAGAGCTCTAAAACATTGACATGAAGCTCATATTCGGACAATAAATAAATCCCGCAAATCTCCAGGGAATCAAGATATGCAACCCAACCCAGAAAAGCATCAGTAAAAGGATGCAGGTCTGGACGAAGAGGAGGAAGAGGAACACCAACTGTAGTAAGGCCTCTGTTCAGCTATAACAGAGGGATCCCCACTGAAAGTCCATCAGTCATGGAATTCCCACTGGAGGGGATGCATGTGAACAGAACAGAGGGATATGAGAGCCTCCAACTAAGCCCACATCCCCAAAACAGAGAGAACATCTAGATCTTGAAGAGAATGAGAGGATAGGGCCTTGATGACCAACTGCACAACATTCTAAAGACATAGTGGAGAAGGCATCCAACTGAGATGAGAATCATAGAAACTTCCAAGGGGACTACCATACTGCATAGGGGGAAAGGATGGACTTCTCCAATGTGATTAACCAACCCACATGAGCAGCCTCCTCCAGGAGCAATTGAGTGTAGTTAGAAGACACTGAACTGTAGACTGGTTCCCATTGGGCCTGATCCCACTGAGTAGTCACCTATATCACTTTCGACGGTCTTGGGGGAAAGAGGAAAAATAATGAAAAAACGAGAATGTCGACATGCAGGTAAGGGATGAGGCGTGGAAGTGGGAGAATGTGAAACAGTAAGAGGATCAGGAGCCATGGAGAAGATTGTGAGAAACAATTAGCAAGGGACAATAGGGAAGTATATGCAACCCAACCATGTCAAAACAGAACTTGAAAGAGTAAGAACAGTCCAAAAAATGGTGTTGCACAAAACTAAGAGACCCTGAAGTCCCCAAAGGAAGATGGGGAGGAGAACTCCAGCAAGCAGCACGTCTCTTCCCAACTGGTTCCAACAACAAGGCAACCAGTTAAGTAGGGAAAGGGTCAATGAAGAGAAACTCACGAAAGTCGACCACAGAAGGGATTAGATCCTCCAAAAAACTGTATATGAACTTCAATGTCTGGAGAAGTTTTACCAAGTTGTCCTTAACAGCGACCTCTTACAAAAGGGAATGATAGGTCTCATGGAAAATAGGAAAAAATCAAAATGTGACAAACCTGTGCAACAAATGGGAGGAAATTAGTAGAAGGCCAAACCTCCTCCACAGGTGCAGGACATGGCTGTTTGACAAAAGGAGGAGGTCAAGGCCCCATGTAAGAATCTAACACCCAATGAACCAAGGCTTGCAGCTCCTCAGCAGATAATGTTGATCCTGAAGCCTAGATAATAGGTGTGTGTGTCCCCAGTAACTGCAGGAGCAATGGCAGTAATCACAGTATAATGCAAATTCAAAATTCACAATAATTAGTGTGAAAGTAGTAATTAAAGTCAGTAGCACACCAGAATGTAAGAATGAGCAAACTTGAGCAAAAAAAATTATAAAGTCTGAAATATCAGCGAAAAAAAGTATAGCAAGCAAGAAACTTGTACTGTGCCAGTCAATAAAACTGAGTTTCACATCAAGTAATATAAAGGGAGCCAGCTACTCTAGGAATGTGTCATTCTCCTACTGGTGGAGGATTGTTGCATGCTCTATGCATGCTAAATGAACAGCTTGAACTTATGGGGTATAAAGGCTAGTGCATCAAGCAAGAAAATTTCTTTTCAAAGTATTTGAGGGCATGTAAGATCAAGAAAAGCTATTGTGTGAGAGGAGGTATGTATCATATTGGAAGCTAAAAGTCTAAAGCTTTTGTTGGAAATACTTAAGGTTGAACTGCCCTCTGTAGGGAGATATAACTCATTAACCAAGTTTTGTCACTCACACACACAGTGAAATACTTGTGTTCCAAATATTTCTATTTTTCTGTCAGATGACCCTACCACACTGTTTGTTAATGGAGTTTTATTTAACTCCTTGGTTACATAGGAGCCTACTTGGTACATCCACTATTTATATTCCCCTTCAATTGACTTCAATATATATATATATATATATATATATATATATATAGTTATTATGTCCCTACTTCTATAAGTAATAATATAATAATAATATA